TGCTGCTTAAAATTTCTCTTCCCATTTCATGACTTTTAATCTTTATCTTTCACAACAAAAATACTTGGTATAAATCCATTATTTCCCTCGTGGTTTTCACTAGGGGGAAGGGTGATTTTGTCTTCATGAAGAATTTTTGTTGTGATAACAAAGATGTATTCAGCTCAACATGTCAATAGTGCTGAGGTTGAAAAATCCTGGTCAATAAAGGAATGTTCTTACTATCTTTTGGGAACTATTTTTCTTTTATTTGGGTATAGCCAAAACTACATAGTAATCACAGCACATACTGTGTACAGCATAGCGCCTACAAAGTAAGTCATAGTACTCTCTGACTCTAATGGGCAAGCTCTCACCAGGATCGGTTCAATTTTTGGAGCCCTGCCTCCATGGCGACATGAACAGGTATGGACATTTGGATCAATCTGGACCAATCCTCACCTAGGAATTTATTCTACAGATGAATTATTGCATGTGTGCATGAGGATTGACAAGACTATTCATCATAGCCTTGTTTCTAATAGCAAAGCTCGATAACATTAGAAGGGTTCATCAATACATTAATTTATTTAATCAATTAGGTGATTCATTAAACAAACTATAGTAAAGTCATACAAAGAAATACTAACATGGTAGTTTATAGCAGGGTAACTGGGTACAGCACTAGATCTACATTTCCCAGAGTCCTCTTCCCTGTAGGATTCTCAATTAGAAGTGGCCAAAAGAGGAGTTACTGGGAAATTTGGATGGTGGAAGAGAACAGCACCCATTACTTTCTTAAAGTCAGAGGGATAAGATGGGTGACAGACTAAGGCATACTCGTGTTTCTAGCAAGCCCTCACTCTTTGCTCCCTGTTAAACTTTTCCTCTGTGTATATTTTATTGTATGTTATTTATGTCAGACCTACAGAGGTAAATGATTCCCATAGATTTTTCTCCCAGCTTCTTTGTTTTCGTGGTCCCACATTGTGGTCAGAAGTACTAGACTTCTCATATTGACCAGTTCGTGACTTGTCTGAAGTATCAACTTCCCCTTTCAGATGATTACTTCCCTGGTTTATCCTCCACTTATATAAGTTCTAATTCCTGTAATATATTTTTTGTACCATAATTTTAAGTGATTATTTTCCCCCTGATTGAACCCTGGCTGACACAATTACATGTACAACCTTTAAAAATAAAGAGGCAGTTCCATGTAACAATATAAATTGATCTCCCATGTATAAATGAAAAAGGAAGGTGCTAAACTGATGAATAGTATTGGATTGTTGGAAAAGTCATGGGAACCAGCAGTTAGCATAATGGCTATGTCGCTGGACTCCCACGTAGTCGACTGTGGTTCATGTCCCGGACCCGGTGGCTTAAAACTCACCCTGGGCGCGTGTGCGTGCATGCTCAAGATCCCGAGAGGAGAATGGAGGAGAAGGGATTGCGGCGTGACCATCCCCCCTGGGGGGTGATTTCTCACTTTCTGTCTCTATGTCTCTCTCTGTCTGTCTGGTGAGCGCATGCGCCCTATAGTGAAAAAAACCTCTCAAAAAAAATTAAAAAAAAGAAAAGTCATGACGTCTTTGTTTTTCTATGCAAAAATGCATCATGACTTTTCCGATGGCCCAATATTACACATAGAACTAAACTCCTCTTTGACCAATCATTTTTTTTAAATAATTATTTTATTTAACTTTATTTATTATTATATCATTATTATTTTTCAGTTTGATCAGAGAGAGGCAGAGAGAGAGAGGAAGTGAGAAAGCAGGCCACCAGGTCAGAGACTTGAACCGTGGTCGGCCATGTGGGAGTCCAGCACTCTTAACCACCACACCACTTGCCGGCCCCTGACCAATCGTTTTAATCCTGATTCTTATTTATTTTATAAAGGTTTTTGCCATAGGGTGCATGCACTCAACAGAGAGAGAGACTGAGATAAAGACAGTGAGGGAAAGTGAGAAATCATGCTCCAGCGGCGATGGCCACACTGTAATCCCTTCTCCTGGGATCTTGGACACACATACACACGTGCCTGGTGTAGATTTTCCTTTCTTTTTCTTTCTTTCTTTTTTTTTTCTTTTTCTTTTTTGCTATAGGGCACATGTACTTGCTGGAGACACAGAGAAATGGAAAGAGAGAAAGTGAGAAATCACCCCCCAGGGAAGTGACCATGCTGCAATTTCTTCTCTTCCATTCTCCTCTCAAGATTTTGGACACGTATGTACACGCACCTGAACCTGGTGGTTTTTAAGCCACCAGGTTCAGGACTCAAATTGCAGTTGGGCACATGGGAGTCCAGTGACATAACCACTATGCCATTTGCTGGTCCCATTCCTGGTTCTTATTTATTTATTTATTTTTAAGGGAGATTTTTGCTATAGGGCATGTGGGCTCACCAGAGAGACAGAAAGCAAGAAATCACCACCCCCGCACCCCCAAGGGGATGACCACACTGCAATCCCTTCTCCATTCTCCCCTCAGGATTTTGGGCACACATGCACACACACCCAATATGAGGTACAAGCCACCGGGTCTAGGACTCAAACCATGGCCAACTATGTGGGAGTCTAGTGACACAACAATTATGCCATCTGCTGGTCCCAGTCCTGGTTTTCATTTTCATTCCCATAAGTAAATACTATTATTAACCCTGAGTAATTTCTATGATCTAGGGAAGAATCTTCAGCAAATTATAACTCTCATAGAGGTTGTTTTGGCAAGATTATTTTTACTGTTATGTAAAGAATATATAATAAAATACAGATTTTAAGTGTTCACAATTATGAGTTTTGATAATGATATATACCCGTGTAACTATAACCCCAAACAACATACAGAGCATTACTGTCCACCCCAAATTTCCTTTGTGTAGTTTGTCAGTTACCTAACTGTTTCTGCAACCACAAAATGAAGTCTCATTTCTATCTCTGTAGATTTTTTTCTTTTAGCTGTATTTGGCTTCCATATAATTGAAATTATACAGTATTTACTGTTTTGAGCCTGGCTTATTTCATTCAGTATAGTGTTTTTGATAATTTGTCCATTTTGTTTTAGGCATTAGTAGATTATTATTTTTTATGGTTGAGTAATATCTGATTGTTTAGATGTGCCATAATCTATTTATTTCCTATCAATGGACATTTAAATTATTTCCAGGTTGGGGTTATGATAAATACCTTTAGGTTTTGAATAAAACAGAGATTATTAGTATTATGTTTGCTACAGTTATAAAAATTGTGCAAATTTCTATTTTAAGTTTCTCAGAGAACTTAACTTCTTTTCACAGAGTCATAAATTAGGAAACAAGTTATTTTCCCCCCAGATCCTTGCCATTGTCGTGGGAAAGAAGATGGAGGAATTTATCCCTATTCTACAGACAACATAGTCTACCAACTTTTTAGGAGCTTCTGAGAGTCACAGGAATTACTTTGTAAATCCTGGCTTAGATGCAGGGGGCCCTGACTGCAGAATGCCAGATAGAAGACCGCGTGTATTTATTCAGACCTGAGGGCTTCCCTGGATCTTCCAGGAAAAATGAAAGACAAGTCTTGAATGTTGTTCTCAGAAGTATGAAAGGTGAGACTCTCACATTGTCAACTGCGGTTTGAGTCCTGGACTCACGCCAGGCACGTATGAATGCGTGCCCAAGATCCCAAGAGGAAAATGGAGACGGGATTGCAGAATGATCATTCCCCCTGGGGGGTTATTTCTTGCTCCCTGTCTCTCTGTCTGTGTTTCTCTGGTGAGCGCATGCTCCCTATAGCAAAAATGTCTCTCAAAAAAAAAAAAAAAAAAAAAAAAAGTATGAAAGGCGGCCAGCAGAAGGTGTGGTGCTTAACAGTGGACTCCCACATGGCAGACCAGGTTCCAGCTTTGGACCTGGCAGCTTAAAAATCACACTGGGCATGTGTGCATGCCTGTCCAAAATCCCAAGAGGAGAGTGAAAAAAGACAGAATTGCCTCTTGGCCATCCTCCCTCCCCCTAGTGGGGGGGTGTGATTTTTCACTTTCCCTTTCTCTTTGTCTTTCTCTGGCTAGTGCACATGCTCTATAGCAAAAACCAGAAAAAAAAAAAGGTATTTTAAAAAAAAGTATGAAAGGGGCAGTAAAACAATTCTAAGCCTCAACCAGAACATATTTTAAGGTTTCTGGGACTATTTCCTAGACATTAGAGAGCTGAACTAAGACCTCCCAGGTAATTAAAACATTCAAAAAATTAAAACACGGAAAAATTAAAACATTGAACAGGGAGGCAAAGATGGCCTCTTAATTTCTGTGGTTAGACTTAAGTGGAATTTTTACCTTTAACTAAAATTAAGACATTAAGATTATTGAAGCTCTGTGACTTAGATGTGTGGTATTTATTGGGAATGTAAAAGAAAAAGATTTTTGTATTTCTATATGATTTAAAAATAGATTATTTTCCTTATAGCTTCTAGTGTTAATAGGGCTAACACAATTAACAGCATCGAGAATGCATAATCGTGTTTCTTATACTGATGCAATTACATAATTGTTTTAATAAGTTAAATGATCTGCCTAGCAGATTTTTAAAATTTGTATTTACAACAGCTTTATTATGCTTTTTTCTTAGGGAGATTACTTTGTTTAAAAAATTTTGAGAAAATCTTCTATTAATGAATCTAATGAAAAATTGTGTGCATTTTTCAATTACAGAGCTGTTCGTAAAAGTCATTAAAATATATTATAGGAAAAGATCTCTCTGAACTTCCACTGCCCACCGCCAGGGAAGTTGACCTCACTGTCGAAGTTAGAAATTATTGCTACTTTTCCGGCCCGGACCAGAAGGCTGTTAGGGAAAGGGGATAACGTGATAGTGTTGCTGGAAGCCTGTTATTCTAGTTCAAACAAACAAACAGAAACTCAGCGCTGGTACAGTCAGAGGCGGTTTGAATGGGGCGGAAGTGCCTGTGGCGTGCCCCGGAAACCCAGGCCTGCGGCCACGGCCACGGGGCGCGAGTGTGCGAGAGCGCGTGTCTTCGGCGGAGGTCCTGAGGTGGTGGAGTTGGCGGAGGCTCTGAGGTGATGGAGACGGCAGAGGGCCTGAGGTGATGGAGACCGCGGCGCCGAGCACCCTTTCCCATTTCCGAGGGCAGGTGGCCGCCTGTCAGAGGCAGCGGCAGAGGAGGGTTCGGTGGCCGGGTGCCTGCCAGGCTTTAAGCAAGGCCAAGATCGTGGTGAGGGGAGTTCATGCATCCTGTGGCGGTGACAGAGTGGTAAAGATACCACATATAAAAACAAGGCGCGTTATTTCATCGCTTCTGCTTATTTAGAAAACGAAGGAGAAATTGGAAAAGTTGGTGAAATATTTGGACAACTTGGAGTTTTTTTTTTTTTTTTTTCCAGTCAGGAAACAGGAAGGCATCTTCCTTTAAAACATTACAGAAATTTTGTGTAGACCCATATAAACTGATGCCATGGATCCTCAGGTGAGAAAGGACTTCCAGGAGGTGGAAGACAGAGGGGGAAGGAGGGAGAGGAGCAGGTAGCAGAGGTCGTGGTAGAGGTGGTGGTTTTAGAGATGGAAAGGGAGATGGAGGTGGGGGCTTCCGGGGAGGAAGAGGAGGTGGTGGTTTCAGAGCGTGTGGGCATTAAGTGTTAACAGACTTCACCAGTTGACTATTTTTTTTTCCCAGAGGTTTTTGCTATAGGGCACGTGCCCTTGCCAGTCAGACAGAGACAGAGAGACAGAAGGTGAGAATTCGCCCCCCCCAGAGGGTATGGCCACGCCGCAATCTCTTCTCCTCCATTCTCCTCTTGGAATCTTGGGCACGCACGTACATGTGCCCGGTATGAGTTTTAAGCCACTGGGTCCGGGATCCGAACTGAGGTCGACTACGTGGGAGTCCAGCGACATAGTCATTACGCTAACTGCTGGTCCCTTCACCAGTTGACTTCTGTATTAGCCGGCATGATCTACTTACGCTTTAAATTGGAAACGTGTTTTGAGTGAGTCTTGCAGATCTGGCCATTTTATGACAGTGGAACTAAAAATGTCCTTGGTGTGTGTGCGCGTACCCAAGATCCCGAGAGGAGAATGGAGGAGAAGGTATTGCCACGTGGCCATCCCCCCGGAGGGGTAATTTCTTGCTTTCTGTCTCTCTGTCTCCGGCAAGTGCACGTGCCCTATAGCAAAAACCTCTCAAAAAAAAAAAAAAAAAAAAGTCAATGTCCTGCAAAAATGAGTGTAACCAAATAGTCAATTTTCCTCTGAAAGAACAAGAACAAATCTTTTAATGTTTTGTACAGTGCCTGGCGCTTTGTGGGTGCTTAATAAATAGAAGTTTTCCTTTGAAACATATTTAAATTTTAAAAATAAAGTGATTTATTCCTTTAAAAAAAAAAAGAGGGGCGGATCTCCTGTGGCTAGCAGGCAGTGTGGTGGTCAAGGTGGTAGAATCCCACATGGCCAGTCATGGTTTTGAGTTCTGGATGGGCAGCTTGAACATCACAGGGCGAGTGTGCCCAAAATCGAGAGAAGAGTGGAAGAGAGGGGAGTGGAGTGTGGCCATCCTCACTGGAGGTGATTTCTGTTTCCCTCTCTTTCCTCCTGTAGGCGCCCTGTAGCAAAAACCTAAAACAATCCATCAAAACCCAAAATTTTCATAGTAGTTAAATCAGAAACTGTTGAATTTTGAATTTTTGACCGTTAAATGTTCATGCTAATAAGATGCTTAGAAAACAGAAGCATTTACTAAAATCTTTTTAAGGGAAGTGTCAGCTAATAAAACTGATTCATTTACACGTCTTTCTAAAAGAAAGTATGTCTTTGAAATATGCTCTGGGCTCAAAGTTTAAAGTCTTCAATAATTTATTATGCTCTGAGTCTAATCTTGAGTAATTTAATATTATTGTGACAGGCACATATTTACCATTGAGGTAGGAATCATTATTTGCTGACACTTTATGATTTTTTTTTTTGAGAGGTTTTTCCTATAGGGTGCTGCACTCGCCAGAAAGACAGAGAGACAGAGAGATAGAAATCCGCCCCCCCCCAACCCCCCGGAGGATGACCACGCCGTTATCCCTTCTTCTCCATTCTCCTCTTGGGATCTTGGGCATGCACGCACACGCACCAGGCGTGAGTTTAAGCCACTGGGTCCGGGACACGAACCGCAGTTGGCTACATGGGAGTTCAGCGACATAGTCATTACGCTAACTGCTGGTCCCTCGTTTTTTTTTTTTTAAGAGAGATTTTTGGTATAGGGCATGTGTGTTCCCCAGAGCGACAGAAATGGAGAAATCACCCCCTAGGGGAGGATGGCCACCACACCACAATCCCTTCTCTTTCATTCTCCTCTGGGATCTTGGGCATGCATGCACACTTGCGTTGCATGAGTTTTAAGCCTCTGGGTCCGAAACTTAAACCGTGATCGATTGTCCAGCAACCTAACCATTATGCTATCTGGTGTTCCCAATTTTTCTTCAGGTAGTCCTATTAGATGAGATAGGAATAAATTCTATCACAGATGCTCATACCTTTATTTTTCTCTGCAAGAGTAGCAAAGAAGTGTTGCTCTATGTTTATGGCTGGCTTTTTTCCTCCAGTACGGTTTTTTCAGTTTCTGCCACATTGATAAATACTTTCGGAGCTCAATTTAAAGTTCAGTAAATTCTGGACCTAGAATATTCTTTAAAGTAGATGCATTTGTGTAGGTCAGTGCTCTCAAAGGATTGTTTCCATCCAAATACAGTATCTGTTTGGCATTTTTGTACACAGAATAACAGACAAAAATGCATTTTTAAAAAGTTTATTTAATGAGAAAGAAAGAAAAAATAAAAGAAAAGCAAGCACTCTCAACATGATCTTTTGCCATGATCCCCCACCACAGACTTTCCTAGTTAGCCAGCAGCACAGGCAAGTACATACACTAAGTGTGTACAAATTGACCGGGAAACTGAACCCCAATCTCCCCATAGTTTCCAGCATTGCAGAGCATCGTGTTAGCACTGTATTACCAAGACTGGACCAGATTTAATACATTTTGAACATCATTATTCACCTGTAAGTTCTTTATTTTCTGTTCTGGCTGCAGGTTAGGTTACCATCCCAAGGTCTGAGCCAGATTTGGAACTTGGAATCTGACAGCCATGAGAGTGACTTAGTCCCTGAGCCAAGTCAGGTTTTTACTGCAGTAAAGGAATCAACTGAGAGCTCAGCTTTCTCACTTCAAGAATACTGCTTTCTGACGTAGTAAGTCACACCCATCATTAAAACATTCTTAAAAAGTTCCTCTTTTTTACGTCATGACATCTTAACAATGAAGAATGGTTACACCTTTGTGAGGGAGGTGTACTGAAGTCAAATGCTGTGTAAAGCCCTGGATCTGATTTCCAGTGTATTAATCATCTACTTATATAGATATTGAAAATGAGAGGTGGCATTTAAGTGTGTGAAAATAGAAATTCTGTGATTTGCTTGAATAAGAAAGTACTTTGTTCTACAACCCACTATCTTCTCTGATGCCACCTGAACTTCGCAAACTGTTTCAACACAGTTCAGGACTTACTTATGTATAGCGTTGTCTGATACTGTTCACTTACTAGTTGAGTGCTAGTCTTTAGGTAGTTAACTTTTATATGTGGGGGAGTGGATCATGTCATTAGAAACCTTCAACATGTCTGCTGTGATCTGAGTCTTTGTGTCCCTCCCAAATGCATGTATTGAAATACTGTCCCAGAGGTGTTAGGCAATGGTATTAGGAGGTAGGAGCCTTTGGGAAGTAATTAGGTCATGAGGGCAGAGCTATCATGAATGGGATTAGTGTCCTTATAAAATAGGGCCTGAGAAGTTGCTGTCTCACAGGCCCTTACCTAACAATGAATTTGCTATCATTTTCATCTTGTTCTTCAGTTTTCAGAACTATGAGAAACAAAGTTTTGCTGTTTATAATACCTGGTTTATGGTATTTTGTTACAACAGCCTGAATGGACTAAGACAATGTCTAAGGCATTTGGCTAATTTAATTGTTTGCTAAAGGAATTTTTCTCAAGGATAATGGTATATATGTGTATGCATGTCCTTTCTTGCTAGCAATACCTACTGCACAGCTTATGGAGTAGCATGGTTATAAAGAGCTTGGGTTCTGAAATCAGACTTTATTGTTTCTCCTGTTTGCTAGCTTTGGAATCCGAGACAAATTCCTTAATGTCTTCAAACCTCAGTTTTGTCATCTGTAAATAGGAAAAATAATAGTTATTACTTTGTAAGGTTATTAGGAGTTTTAGAAGAATTACTATTTATAAAAGAAAGAGAACAGTGTCTAACACATAAGGGCTCACTGTTGCTATTTAAAGAAATATTTTGGCTAACTAGTGGTATGGTGGTTAAGCAGTTGGACCCCACATGACCAACTATGTGGTTTGAGTCCTGGACCTGGCAGCCTGAGAAACATGCTGGGTACATGTGCTTGTGGTATTAAAATCCTGAGAGGAGAGATGGAGGAGAAAGGTCGTGGTGTGGCCATCCTGCTGCAAGGTACTTTCTCACTTTCTCTCTCTGTCTCTCTCTGGTGAGCACATGTGCCCTCTAACAACAACAACAACAAAAAGCCTGGGGCTAGCAGGTGGTATGGTGGTAAGACACTGGACTCCCACATGGTTGACCACAGCTCAAATCCCAGACCCAGTGGCTTGAAACTCCTGCCAGGCAGGCACGTGTGTGTGTGCATATTCAAAATCCCAAGAGGAGAATGGAGGAGAAAGGGTTATAGCATGACTATCCTGCTGGGGGGTGATTTATTACTTTCTGTGTCTCTGTCTCTCTGATGAGTGCATGCGCCCTATACTGAAACCCTGTCTCCCCCCCCAAAAAAAAAGGCTTTAGGGTCTTGACATCTGGTCATAATTTTTTGGGTTCAGGAAACCTGAATAAACATACACTTTCCCTAGAACCTCTGTGAAAATTTTTGAGTTACAGTGTCAGAGACATGGTTATGAAAAATTCCGAACTGTTGACATATGTACATTGGAGAAATGGAGTTGAACTGTGAATATAATTATTTACAAGAATTTTGTCCCAAGGTTAAGGTAAGGTAAATTGATTGAGTCATGGCAACAGACTCAGTAGGTATAAGTTTTGTTATTTTATAAAGAAATAAAGTTCATCAGAGGATCCTAAGGCTCAATAAAATTTTGAATTTAAAATCTCTTTCAGTGAAGTCTTTTGAAGTTATAAAGGTTCCAGTTAGTCAACATATAGTCAACTCCAGCTTTGGTTAAATAATCATGTGGTTCTGAACTATGTGGAGAAGGGCAAATGGTAACGGAGAATGTGGTTGCTGGTCTCCAAGGATGGCCCTAGTGAGGCCTGCTTTGACCTTTAGATTGCAGTGGATGTAATGCTGTAAGACTTTGGAGGCAAGTCATAATGCAGACTCAACTTTTGCCCATCTTCCTGGGAGGTCAGTACTAGGAAGCTAGTCACAAGGCAAGAAGTTCAATTCCCAGGAAAGAGAATGTTGTAAGGCAGTGATGGGGAGTGGGAGTAGTTCACCTAGGAAGTAGAGAATAAGGAAGTATATTGTCTATGGAGAATTTGCTTATTTTTATTTTACTTTTTTTTTATGGTGAAAGTGTGTATTTAGAATTAGTCAACTGGACTCAGCTTAGATGATCCCAGTTTTATTGGCAACATTCAAAGCATCAGAATCAGCAGTCAGTCGCACATATGTCTTCTTTTCTCCATCAAGCCTGATTAGTGTGTTGACGTTGGTCACATCAATATCATAGAGCTTCACAGCCTATTTGATTGGTGCTTGTTGGCCTTGACATCCATTATGAATACAAGTGTGTTATTTTCTATCTTCTTCATAGCAGACTCAGTGGTCAGGGGGAACTTGATGATGGTCAAGCTTATTTCTCCTGAGGCTGCTTTTCTAAGGATATGTGGGCTGCCTCTGGAGCTGCAATGTCTTGGGCCACTGGAAAGTGGATGATGTGTGGTCTTTCTGTGTGTGTGTGTGTGTGTGTGTGTGTGTGTCTGTTGCCTCCTTTCACTGCCTTATTGGCCTTCAAAGGCTTTGCTTTGGTTTCAGCTTTGGAAGGGGCATGCCTTTAGTGCTATCTTGGGAAAAAGCTTATTATTACTATTTTTTAATTGACAGAGGATGTGTGTGCTTATCAGAGAGAAAAAGAGAGAAAGTGATCATGCTACAATCCCTTTGCCTCCATTTCTTCATTTTTTGGGATTTGGGGCATGCACGCACATGTGCCTGGCATATTTTTCACGCTGCCAGGAATGGGACTTGAGTAGCTGTTGGCCATGTGGAATCTGGCACTCTTAACTGTGAGGTTATGGGCTGAGCCAGAGAATTTATTTAAAAACAATAGTAATACCAACTAAAAGCCAGTCTTCTTTATCATCATCATGCGCAAGAAATTCTAAATTAGGATTAGTGATAAAATCTTTCTTTCCATGAGTGAACCACTTCCACTGCCTCTCCTGCCCACCCTACTCTCTACAAGATAAGGTGGTACAGTCATGGTCAGACATACAGGAAGAGGGTGTTTGACTAGTCTCCAGCTTCTTCAGCCATTCCAGTCCAGGCACCAGGTATGAGAGAAGAAGCTGTCTTGGATGTCCAGCTCAGTCTGGCTTTCAGAAGACTCCAGCCCCTACTGTCACTTGACTGCAATTGGGTGAAAGATCAGAAGTCAAAAACATACAGCCAAGATTTGTCAAACCATGAATTGTAAGAGATGATAGCAGTTGTTTCTAGCTACTTAGTTTAGGAGTAGTTATGCAGCAACTGATGAACAGAAAAGAAGAGACATCCAAGAAAAAAAAAGGCTCTCTACCTCTCTCCCCACTCCTCTTCTTCTAAGGATAAATTACCACCCAAGTTTCTTTTGCTATAGGGGATCTAGAGATTAGCTTATCTTGATACTAACAGAGGCTGAAAGTACTTGATTTCACCATTATGCAGAAATTATATCTGTGTAGTGGTTGCTAAGCAACAAGAGATCAGAAACCTATAAGGAGTGACCACAGAATGCAAAACATTTGGTCAGCCTACTAAGTTCCTGCTGCACTTCTTTTTTAAAAAACCTGCTTATAGGAAGATGTGATGGCTATAGTATGTAGAGGGAGGAAAGTGTCTGGGGGACCTTAGAAGGACAGTGCACACTTCATCATTTGCCTGCAATGACATGCAAACCAAAAAGCCAACATATGACCTGAAAATGGCCATTGTTTGTGATCTACAAGAATAAGAACCTTTAGTATTAAATATTAACATACTGGGAACCTTGTTTCCTCTCACCTCCTATCCTTGGCAAAAGCATTTATAAATCCTAAAAACCTTTCCCCTTGAAATACCTCTGAGCTGTAACTGTCTATTAAAATACCCAACGTAATGTGTAATAATGTCATTCTGAGCTTTTCAAGGATATTATTAGGTGATAAGTGAACTCAAGGATTTTGGGGAAGAGAAGGTGGTCAGTGGGGCCCATACACTCTTCCCTTGGTAAGTCAGAGAAGCAGGTTGAGAAAGGAGGCATCTTACTAAGGTCTTTGTGAATAGCATAGTAGCAGGCGCAGATGGAAAACACTAATAAAATAAAGAGTTCCCTGTCAGCAATCATTTTCATTATTTCCTTTGGGTTATTTTTTATCCCTCCATTTTTCTCATAAATAGAGTTTTTAAATTAAAAAAGGTAGGGTGGACAAGTTAAGCTCAATAGAAAACAAACAGGAGTTGAATGTATATGTTTTATTAACAGTATTTTAGCAAAACCTATATGATCCTCCCAGACACACGCACACACGCACACACACACACACACACACACACACACACACAATATGCATGTTTTTGGTGTACCCCCCCAGAGATCCCAGGACTTGCCTGAGACATGAGTATTGAGGAAGATAGCCATACAGAATGAATGTAGAGCTGCCTGAGCCTGCCAGTGTCGCTGGGTGAGCACTCCATCGACCGAGTGCTGCTAGAGCAGACCCACCAAATCCCACGTAAGTGGTCAGAGCACAAATGAGGCTGTCGGTGGGTAGTCCTACCCTATTCATGAGCTCTTTCAGAACAATTTTCATTACTTTTTTTAAATACTGTTTTTGGCAAACACTTGATACTTGAAATAAAAAATGCATGAGTCACCTACTGGGATAGGCACAGTGTGTGGTTCATTGAATTTAGCTAAATTGTGAGTCATCCATCAATAGTCCTCTTGGTGAACATACTT